CAAGCGAGTCTCCTGCCTCCACCTCCCAAGTAGCTGGGACCACAGGCGCCTGCCACAATGCCTGGCTATTTTTTGGTTGCAGCTATCATTATTGTTTGGCGGGCCGAGGTGGATTCAAACCCGCCACCTTAGGTATATGTGGCTGGCGCCTTAGCCACTTGAACCACAGGTGCCGAGCCTAAACTTTAGAATATACTTTTTCCCCTACAGTCATCACTGTCTTATATGTTTGCTTCCACCGAAAGTATTGCCAAATAGTTGCTATGAGCTTTAGATTTTTTGTTAATTGTCTTTTAGTTGAATTCTAGTTAACAGTCCTAACTAAAGAAGTTTGAATATAACAGTGTAAAATGGGAAGTTTGAATTGGGTGGTTCCTCAGTAATCTACAGCTAAAAATTAACAAATTATTGACTGGCAATTTATACAGAAGCTATCCCATGTCAATGGCTAATATTCCATAATTGAGTATGAAAGTGAAACAATCTAAATAAACTTCAGTATACTTTATACCTAATAAAGTGGAATGAAACTTTGTACATATCTTCCATATAACTTCTAATAACTTAATTCTGTAATGTATGTCTTCACTAGATGTAGCTTGTGAATTATCACTAAGATGAAAAAAAAGTAAGGATTTGTTTGAATCTCATTCTGGTCATAGTTTTAGGAAATATTGGTTTTCTTTCTTTCTTTCTTTCTTTTTTTTTTGTTTAAGAGACAGAGTCTCGCTTTGTCACCTTCGGTAGAGTGTTGTGGCGTCACAGTTCACAGCAAACTCCAGCTCTTGGGCCCAGGTGATTCTCCAGCCTCAGCCTCCCGAGTAGCTGGGACCACAGGCACCTGCCACAACGTCTGGCTATTTTTTTGTTGCAGTTTGGCCAGGGCCAGTTTGAACCCACCACTCTTGGTATATGGTCAGCACCTTTCTCACTGAGCCATAGGCGCCACCTGGAAATACTGGTTTTCCTTTTAGGGGGGACAGAGTCTCAGTGTGTCGCCCTCAGCAGAGTGCTGTGGCATCACAGCTTACAGCAACCTCAAACTCTTGGGCTTAAGTGATTCTCTTTACTCAGCCTCCTAAGGAGCTGGGACTACAGGCTCCTGCCACAGCACTTGGCTATTTTTTGTTGCAGTTGTTTAGCTGGCCTGAGGTGGGTTCAGACCTGCCACCTTTGTGTATGTGGCTGGTGCTGTAACCACTATGCTATGGGTGCTGAGCCGAAATACTGGTTTTCTTTTCTTTTCTTTCTTTTTATTTTTTTATTTTTTTTGAGACAGAGCCTCAAGCTGTCACCCTGGGTAGAGTGCTATGGCATCACAGCTTACAGCAACCTAAAACTCCAGAGCTTAAGCGATTCTTTTGCCTCAGTCTCCCAAGTAGCTGGGACTACAGGAGCCCGCCACAATGCCTGGCTATT